CACGCCATCGATGGACTTGAAGTGCGACAACAACATTAAAAAATTCAGATGAAAAAGTGATCGAATTAAGATGAAAAAGTGCCTATCTGAAACTTGCTCTGAAACTTGCCTTCATGCATTGATCGAATTAAGATGAAAAAGTGACTATCTTTGTCCGAAATGTCCTTCAGATATTAATGTCAGTCCGACATGTTTCAATTGCCTTGTAGGGTAAGTAGTAATGATTGTTAACATTTTCAGAAGATTAAACTAAGTGTTGCATGAGAAGTTGAGCATGACTTTGGTTTTGTTTATTCTTTCACCCTGCCCCATTCCAGGTCTAAGGATTTTAATAAGTGAAATGGGTAACCAAGGAGGGATTTCCTTACTAGTTGAAATTGCATGTCCATTCCTAGTGAACCTTAAACCGGTTTGTTAGGAATTTAGTCACTTGTACGTGGGATGAGCAACATCTCAAGAATCCTTCTGTTAGACCCTTGTATAACCCTTGTATGCATTGGACCTAAGCATTTCCGAATCTGATTACACTTATATGACTTTGCTAAGCTACTTTGTGAGTTAGATCTCCATTAGAATAATAGTCCATCTTAATAATTTCCTAGTCTGGATGCCTCATTCAGACCTACTTTAGGCACGGGATCGCTGCAAAATGTACTTAATTTAGTATGCTGGTCTGGGATAGAAGTAATCGAACTATGAGGGTGGAGTTTAAGGCCACTACTTGGGTGATTTTTGGATCGCCCTTCTGACTATTCCCTCGAATGGCCAAAGCTTAGGGTTGACTATGTAGCCCCCAACCCTTAGGTTGCATAAAATTTTTGGAAGTCGGATAATGCACTAAAGTTTATCGGGCAAAAAAGTCATGTCCTAATTTCAGTAGTCCACCTAACATAACCACACTAAATACGGCTCGAGCCTCCCTGTCTGCTAACTGGAACACAACATAATGACCTATAGGAGACTCCTTTAACAATAACACTTTGAAGTTTTTAGGCTTGAACTCTTGCATAGTTTTCAAAGTGGTGTGATATGTGGGATGTTAGGGTATTCCCTGTATAGCAAAAAGATAAAAACAAACAAAAGTCATGCGACCATCAAACTATATTCTAATTATAAAAGAATGGGGGTTTAATGAAGGGTGTGATTGAATCTGTGTTGGATTGCCTATATATCTTTGGACTTGGAGAATCAAATTACAGGTGCAGTGCTATGAAAATATGACACAATGTATGTACCTTGACTTAAGCAAGCTTTGGAGGTACTTCTCCATATCTACGCGTAGACGGACGTCATTGAAATTCTTTGCTGTTGAATCCATGATGGATGGCCTACATATCAACTCATGTCAAACAATAATCAAATCACGTGTTGTTCGTTAGAGGTTCTTAGTAATACCACCGGAGCTTGGCGATATTCCATCTCTTGGTGATAGGATGTTATGCCTCAATCCCAAGAAATGTCCAAGATCAACACGTGACATTAACATGTACTTGTTCCTGTATCATGGGTCGCCTTTAAGGCATGGTCAAAACATAGTCAATAGTTGAACATTGAAGTAACTTTTCTCTTATATCATGGTTGTATCTAACCTTTGTGTTAGACTGACTACGTACCCTAAGATAGGATCAAGTCATTCGTAGTTCACAATATAATCGATCAACAACATAAAATTTCCATGAACCAACAATGCACAACATTAATCTTTAACCACATTGATCAACCAATCGAATCAAAATCATTTATAAAACCGTACTTTAAAAATTATAAATAAACTAGCTAGAAATCCCAAAGTAATCATTCAGACGTCCATCGTCCTTTCTAAATTAGTTCACAACGATTCTCAATCTTTTGTTTATAAACATTTTGAAAACTAGGGCTAAAGCGACACAGTTTGGTCGAAGCCTACAACTTTTATGATTTTACATTCTAGACCGACTCAAAGGAGCCGTAAAGATTTCTCAGGACTTAATTCTAGACCAACTCAATAGAAACAAATAGCAAAAGGGATTCAGACCATTTAACTGAATCCAGACGAAACAGGGTATTAGACCACTTAACGGAACCCTAGCAAAACACGATTTCAGACCACTTAACAAAACCGACACTAGAACGGATTCCAAACCACTCAATGGAATCCAAAAAAAAAACATAATTCCATACCACTCAATGGAATCGAAAGGAATCAGGGTATCCGGACCACTTAACGGAACCCCAACAGGACACGGTTTCGGACCACAATCAACGGAACCGACACGAGAAGGGATTCTAGACCACTCAATGGAACCCGAACAAAACATGATTCTGGACCACTCAACGAAATTGAGACGAAGTAGGGTATCCAGACCACTCAACGGAACCCCAAAGGGACATGGTTCCAGACCACTCAACGAAATCGGCAAGGGAAAAGATTCTGGACCACTCAATGGAATTCAAATAGAACACAATTCTAGACTCCATAATGGAAAGGAAGTAGGGTATCCAAACCACTGAACTGAAACCCAACAAGATACGATTCCGAACCACTCAACTGAACCGACAAGAGAAGGAATTCTAGACCACTCAACGGAATCTGAACATAACACAATTCCGAACCACTCAATGGCATCTAGAAGAAGCAGGGTATCCAGACCACTCAACGAAACCCCATATAAACACGATTCTGGACCACTCAGCAAAACTAACACGATAAGGGATTCTGGACCACTCAACGAGATTAGAACATAGCATAATTCCTGTTGTCCTAGGGGTTAAGGTCAATGTCCAATTCCTTGTAGCTCGTTTCTTAAACCCTAGGTTGTGGTTGCTTTGCAGTCTTCTCCTTCAAAGCAATGGAGCTCCGTTCTCCTTTTTATGCTTTCCACAATGCAGGAGTAGGCTATGACATGATCAATTTTGATTTCTTTTATTCCATTAGGTGCAATATATTAGAGCAGCTGATGATACGATGATGGGATTGCCATCATCCTATGTAGCCAATTTCGCCTAGGATGGTGTTATGCGGGAGTTTGGCAATCCAAGACATGGATGACTGCCAGCAAATTGTTAGGTTTCCCATGAACTGCTAGTTTAACCATTTTGATTGATTGGACTGGAGTACCCTCAAAGGTATGTAAAGTAGTCTTACTCCAATTGATGTTATCCATAATCCTAATCTTCTATACTGCTTCTTTGAAGAAGATGTTAACTCAAATCCGTTATCTATTAGTACTCGGCTGACCATTGCATTCAAATCTAAATTTTATCACCAAAGCATCATCATGAGGGGAGCGCACATCTTCTAAGTTTTGATCTGAGAACATCAAGATATTGGAATATATCATAAGCGGTTTATTGATGGAAGCAACCATCCTTGGCATTTTGCATGTAGCCTTCCTTTCTTTTCTATTGTTGCCCAGATTCTCCTGCTTCTTATAGCTGTCATCCCACATAGTAATGTCATTGACCATGTCAAAGCATCCTGCTAGAGTGATATAATCATATTTTTTCTTGTTTAGCTTTTGGGACAGAGGTGAATGAATGTAAAGGCCTTGCTTGAAAGCCATCATAGCAAGCTTGTCATCTGGTTTCTCAACATCCACCAACTTCGCGTAGAATCGCTTTAGGTAATTCATGAGAATCTCGTTCTTGCATTAAGGCTTCATGCGGAATACAGCCTCATGGTGCTTACGAACATTATGATATACGAAGAATGTATTCGTGAAGGTGTTGACGAGAGTTTCGAAATTGTCGATTAAGAGGGATAGCAATTCCAAGAACCACCTTATGGCAAGCCCCTCCATAGTGGATGGGAACATCTTGCACATGCATGCATCGTTGTTGCTGTACAGGGTCATAGCGTTCTGATAATGCATGATGTGGTGGTCTGGATTTGAGTATAAGTAAAATTTTCCCGAGGCAACGACCCTGGTGAGAACTCTGTTGGGGAGTTGATTCTGAACATCTATCGGAGCATTCCTAAGGTTATTACGATTCAGCAGTCCACACCGCTTTTGGTCTTTAGATGACTCCGAATTGTCGAAGTTGAGATGCCTAGGCTTTACACAAGAGCCTCTTACAGTGTCTAAAGGATCGAGATTGCGCTAAACTCGGATCCCACCTGAGTGGTATGACTAACAGTCCCGCCATCATGTCGTTCCTGTGCGGTTCAAATCAGTAATTAATGCTGGGGTCAGAGCGAGGGTCATCATTATGGATTGTCCATCCTGAATTATTGTATTCAGGTTTCCAAGTCCAAAGATAGGGACTTGGGTTTGCGGAGTAGTTGAGAGAGAAACATTTTAGGATAGTGCATCCGTATTAAACCGAAAGAATCCAAGAGGATATCTAGGACTAAATATTGTTTCTTCTTAGGAGTGTGATTACTTGTGATGCATGCCAATCCCTAAATTGTAGGAACCTCGAAGAATATAGGAAACTTGTATGATTCTAATCGGATCAAGTTTCCGTGTCTTGCGGGACCAAGAATCTCAGGTAAAATCAGTGGACTTCACCTACCTTTCCCGAGTTTAGTAGGATGCGGTGGCATCACTTGTACCAAAAAGAAAATGCTAGAGCATTTTTACACATGTATCTTGAATGATTTTCACATACTAAGCCTCTTGCATGCTCCTCTTTGTTTTTTGCCATAAAATAAAATAAAAACAAGAGCCAAAATTAAACAGAAGTGTCTAAAAAGCTAAAATGAAAATGTAATGTATGGAAGTCTACTTCCGACCGTTACATGAGAAAAGGGAATACTTTTGCATTTTTTTTTTTAATTAGCCATGTGAAGGTTGAACCTTTGAAGGTCAATATGGTCACTGAATCTTCAAAAGAACTTCCCCTGTAAGCTAAGCTATGAACAGTGAATACGAATCTCCCTTTTTTTACCGTTAAAAGGGATTACTTTTGTGTTTACCCTATAATTTCCATCTCTTTCTTGTAATGTATGGATAGTCTTACTTCCTTTTTTTCTGTTTTTCTGAAACTGATCATATCAACTTTTCTCTCCATTGAAGTAGGTTTTGGAAGTGAATGAATGAGTGAGACAATGTCTGCTTCCGACTGTTTCATGGATACTGTGTTTTCTTGGTCACTTGAAGACATTTTCAATGAGAATCTGTACATAAACCAGGTTTTTTCTTCCACTTTTAGTATTAAATTTCATTTTTTTAGATTTATCTTGTTTTTCTTCAAATTTTGATGAGATTGCTACTGCAGCTTTTGTCTTAAGATGTTAAGACCCAAAAAATTAAAACTTTATACAACCTTGAGAAATAATTCAATGAGTAAGGTTTTTGATTTTCAAGGTAGTAGTTTTTTCTTTACTGGCCTTGACTCAGACAGGGAAAGCCCATTTTTGTTTTCTAATTCTTCCGCATCTATACAAGTGTTTTGTAGCCCAATTAGTTAAGAGCGTTCACCCTACACCGCGCGTTCGGTTTTCACTTCCCCATTATCTTTGTGTGTGTGTGTGTGTGTGTGTGTACATAAACCAGGTTTTTTCTTCCACTTCCCCCATTTTCTAGGTGGGGATCTGTACATAAACCAGGTTTTTTCTTCCACTTTTGGTATTAAATTTCATTTTTTTAGATTTATCTTGTTTTTCTTCAAATTTTGATGAGATTGCTACTGCAGCTTTTGTCTTAAGATGTTAAGACCCAAAAAATTAAAACTTTATACAACCTTGAGAAATAATTCAATGAGTAAGGTTTTTTATTTTCAAGGTAGTAGTTTTTTCTTTACTGGCCTTGACTCAGACAGGGAAAACCCGTTTTTGTTTTCTAATTCTTCCGCATCTATACAAGTGTTTTGTAGTCCAATTAGTTAAGAGCGTTCACCCTACACCGCGCGTTCGGTTTTCACTTCCCCCATTATCTTTGTGTGTGTGTGTGTGTGTGTGTGTACATAAACCAGGTTTTTTCTTCCACTTCCCCCATTTTCTAGGTGGGGATCTGTACATAAACCACGTTTTTACTTCCACTTTTAGTATTAAATTTCATTTTTTTAGATTTATCTTGTTTTTCTTCAAATTTTGATGAGATTGCTACTGCAGCTTTTGTCTTAAGATGTTAAGACCCAAAAAATTAAAACTTTATACAACCTTGAGAAATAATTCAATGAGTAAGGTTTTTTATTTTCAAGGTAGTAGTTTTTTCTTTACTGGCCTTGACTCAGACAGGGAAAGCCCGTTTTTGTTTTCTAATTCTTCCGCATCTATACAAGTGTTTTGTAGCCCAATTAGTTAAGAGTGTTCACCCTACACCGCGCATTCGGTTTTCACTTCCCCCATTTACTTTGTGTGTGTGTGTGTGTGTGTAATATCTTCAGCCTCTATTACCATATAAGTTTACTTGTAATATGCAGTCTTAAGCTAGTGGTACTCAACCACTGGAGTTGGTTAAGTAAATATTTATGCGGTGGCTAAAGCACTCGCTTCCAACGACTGTGAATGCAATATATTTGAGCTTCTATGGTTTCCTCATGCAATGTCATCATCTGTAGATTTATCAACAAACTTATTCTGAACTTCTACTTTTCTAGGTGGAGAAGATTCCTCAATCATTTGATTCAGTTGGGCGTTATTTTGGGTCCTATTCATTTCCTTTATTAGAGGAAACTCGTGCACAGGTGCAGTCGAGTATGGAAACTATTGACAGAGCACCATTTGCTAAAGTAGTTGTTTTTGAAGAATCCGAGTCCAATTTGGATGATACAAGGACATATAGTATCATGGTTGATAAGTGGCAAAACAGGCAAAGAGAACGTGGAAGGGAACCATACAAAACTTTGCCTGGGGATCTTTTTGTCTTAGCAGATGCGAAACCCGAAACTGATTCTGATTTACGAAGGGCAGGGAGGTCGTGGACTTTTGTATCAGTCACTAAGATCACGGAAAATAAAATAGAAGATGATATTAATGATGAGAAAATAGAGGCTGAAATAAAAGAGTTTAAAGTCAAGGCATCAAAAAGGATTGAGGTCAAGGATAACATGAGCACTCCGCCATCACTATTTGTTGTTTTCCTTGTGAATTTGACCACTAATCGCAGAATATGGGAAGCATTGCACATGTTCAGAAATCTGAAGATTATCAAGGATGTTCTGTGCACTGATTCTGTGGTAAGACCTTAAGTTCTGTGCATTGCATTCACTGAAATGGGATCTATTCATGGTATGTGAACAATAAATGATGCAAGAGGTAATGTACTGCACTCTACACACTACACAAAATACTCAGCGACGTAACTTTACGCTGTGTATAGTACACTAATAATTTTGATGCAAGCATGATGATTTTTCTTTCATTTTTATCTTTCGATCAAAGTTTCTGTCATGTGCATATGTGTACTGGTCCAATTGTGTACTCTGGATTCTACGGTCTCTCTCGTTCTCCCATCTACTATTCCATTCAGTTTGATCGAATAATTTGTGTTACTATATTTCAACACTGTCATTTATTGTTGGATTTGATTAAATATCTTATGCTTGGCAACAGGCTCAGAAAAACTATCCTCCCTCATATGAAATGGATGCTGACTTTCGGGATAAGTTGTTAGTTGAGAGTTCATCTTCTGGATTGAATGAGTCACAAACTGGGGCAGTTTTGGCCTGTCTTGAAATGTTGTTTTGTGATTCCAAGTCTACTTTGCAACTTATATGGGGTCCACCTGGGACAGGGAAAACTAAATCCACCGCTACTCTGCTGTTGACCCTGTTAAGGATGAATTGTAGGACTCTTGCTTGCGCCCCAACAAATGTTGCAGTAACTGAAGTAGCTTCCCATCTTGTAGAGATGGTGACTAAAGCAGAGTCCAATGCTTGGTTTTGTCCTCTGGGAAAAATTCTTTTATTTGGGAATAAAGAGGGACTCAAAGTTGGTTCTGATATTGAAGATATATATTTGGATCACCGTGTCAAAAGTCTTTTCGAGTGCCTGAGGCCGGTGACAGGTTGGAGTAGTTGCTCATCTTCCATGATTAGGCTTCTTGAGGATTGCATTTCACATTATCATATTTTCTTGAAAAATGAGTTCGCCGAAGTGAAAAAACAAAATGGTGATGGTGAAATGATAGAGAAAGGATATGGAAGTGAGACCGAAGTTAGCAAGGGCCAGTGCAAATCATTTCTTGAATTTTTCAGAGAGAGATTTGTGTCTACTGCATTACCCTTAAAATGTTGTATTTCTACCTTCTGTACCCATATAAGCCAAGATTACATTTCGGCACGTAATTTCCATGACATGATTTCGCTTTCAGGGTTAGTTGATTCCTTTGGAATACTATTGCAAGGTAATGTTGATTCTGAAGCACTGGAAGAGCTTTTCTCTCATTCAGAAGTTGAAGATGTGCTCGAGCCAGTAGACAACAACACATTTCATCTGTACATGAAGAGAAGAGAGTGCCTTTCAGTTTTACATGCCCTTCAGAAATCGATTAGAAGACTTTACCTCCCAGATGTTTGGAACAAAAAATCTATAATGGAGTTTTGTTTTCAAAGAGCTTCCTTAGTATTTTGCACTGCATCTAGTTCGTTTAAGCTGCATAGAGTGAAATTGGAGCCACTGACCATTGTTGTTATCGACGAGGCTGCACAACTGAAAGAGTGTGAGTCAACGATACCCCTGCAACTTCCAGGTGTGAAGCATGCCGTTCTTGTTGGTGATAAGTGTCAGTTACCAGCTATGGTGAAAAGCAATGTACGTTGATGCTTACTTGGTTATATTTATTTAATCATTTCTCTGATTGCAATTTTTCTTTCGACTTATTCTTTCTTCCTTAGGTGTCCTATAAAGCTGGTTTTGGAAGAAGCTTGTTTGAGAGGTTGAGCTCAATGGGTCACTCTAAACACCTTCTAAACATGCAATACAGAATGCATCCTTCAATAAGTTCCTTCCCAAATTCAAGGTTCTACAATAACCAGATCCTGGACGCTCCAAATGTTAAAAGAAGAAGCCATGAGAAACGCTATCTTCCAGGGCCAATGTTTGGTCCTTATTCTTTTATTAATGTAATTGATGGAAGAGAGGAGAAGGACGAGGACGAACATAGTCTAAAGAACATGGTAGAGGTTGCAATTGCTTTGAAAATACTGCAGAATTTGTACAAAAGTATGTCTAACCAGGGAGCCATGCTCATGTTCTAAATTCAAGATTTTCGATTATGTTATTTTCTAGATGTTTTATTGTACGCTTGTAGTGTTTATTTGTTCTTATTTATTATATTTGTTGTAAGGGCCAATTACTTCTTGGTTTGGATAAGACTGAAAATTTTCTCTCGTCTTTCCCTTTGTAAACAGGATGGGTTGTTTCAAAGGAGAAGCTCAGTATTGGTGTAATATCTCCTTATGCAGCTCAAGTAGGTGCAGTTCAGGAAAAACTTGGACAGAAGTACGATAAGCATGATGGCTTCAAAGTGAAGGTGAAGACAGTTGATGGGTTCCAGGGTGGTGAAGAGGACATAATCATCATGTCCACTGTGCGATCCAATCAACATCACTCACTCGGTTTTATATCGGAACCACAAAGAGTTAATGTTGCTCTCACCAGGGCTCGGTATGCTTCTATGTAAACTTGTATGCTTTTGCATTGTTTTTACTCGTTGGTAAGGGTGTAAATAACTACTGGCCTTCTAATGAATTCAGGCACTGCCTTTGGATTTTGGGAAATGAGAGAACTCTTTGTGGTAGCGAATCTGTTTGGGAGGCTTTGGTGCTTGATGCCAAGAGTCGGCAGTGTTTCTTTAATGCTGATGCAGACAAGGATATGGCCAAGGCCATATTAGAGGCGAAGAAAGCATTTTACCAATTTGATGATTTGCTTAATGCTGACAGCTTACTTTTCCGAAGTTGTAGATGGAAGGTAAAGCTCTGGGATTTTATTTATGATTGAGTTGCTTTCTAGTTTTACCTTGTTTATTTCCAAGAAATCTCTACAGTCGAAAATATGCATTCTTGTACTGGACTTTCTGGTTACTTAAATATTTTTCTATGTTCATTTTTATGTTCTTCTCTCCTCCCAACCTATTATCTTTAGGTACTTTTCAGTGGTAATTTTCTGAAGTCGTTCAGAGAACTTACGTCGATTCAGTTGAAGAAGTCCGTGCTAAATCTTCTATTGAAGCTTGCCGGTGGATGGAGACCTAAAAAGATAAATGTCCAGGCTATTTCTGGCTCATCATCATTCTTGAGTCAATATAAAGTTGGACGTCTATATATTGTTTGCGCAATTGACATTGCAAAGGAGTTGGAATACACTCAAGTGTTAAAGATTTGGGACTTATTGCCTCTAGAATACATCCCAAAATTGGTAAATCGATTGGATAGTCTTTTCAAGAGATATACAGATGATTTTATCAATCGCTGCAATGAGAAATGTCTTGAGGGGTATGTTCTTCTGCATTCCCCCTTTTTTTTTTTTTTTTTTTTTTCTTTTTTTTTTTTTCTTTTTTTGTTGTTGTGGTGCTGAACGTGCCTGAATTGTTAATTGTGATTGCTTTCTTTATGGAAGATACAAACGTTTCTCAATCTTCTGAAATTCTGAAGTAATTTTTTTTTTTCTGTCATTTGTGACCAGTGACTTGGAAGTTCCGAAGTGCTGGCCAACCTCTTTGGATGTGCCTCGGTTGAAAGATCTTAGTGCCACTGAAATCGATCGTGATTTTGTTGATGGTGCTTCTAATGGTAGAAGTTATGTTGAGAATTCACAGGTCAGCGAGAGTTTGTTGCTCATGAAGTTTTACACCTTGTCATCTGGTGTAGTGAATCACTTGTTGCTTGACTGTGAGGGTAAAGAGTTGGATCTTCCATTTGAATTAACTGACCAGGAAAGGGAGATTGTCCTTTATCGTAAAAGTACCTTTATGGTCGGACGGTCAGGAACAGGGAAGACAACAGTTTTAACCATGAAACTATTTCAAAATGAACAACGTCACCATTTGGCAGAGAAAGGATGCGTTAGTAGTTCAAATAGCATGGTTGAGCCGAGTTCTTTGGCTACTCAGGAGAGAACTCTACACCAGCTGTTTGTTACCGTGAGTCCTCAGCTATGTTTTGCCATAAAACAACATGTTCTACACTTGAAAAGGTACATATATTGTTCAACGAAGAAAATTTTTTCTACTTTTTTTTTCTCTCGTGTTTGTAGATCATTACAAGTCCATATGACCTCATTGTTCTTGATTCTTGGATGCATCATTCATTCACTATTCATAGTTAACTCTATGTATCGCGCACACAATGTTCCCAAGCTTTGGTTTATTTGGAATCTTGATTTCTTTTTCTCAAACGAAATTTTTTTTCTTGTTCTTGACTCATTACTTGAATGTTTTGTAAATTTCAAACATCACATCGATAACCTTAAGTTACTAATTTTTGTACTACAGATTTGCATGTGGTGGAAGTGATTTGACAGAGAAAATTTTGATTGATATGGCTGATTTTGATGAGGAGGAATTTCAATTCAAGGATATCAAGGATTCGTTTCAGGATATTCCTCCTGATTCTTACCCTCTTGTAATAACATTTCATAAGTTCTTGATGATGCTGGATGGAACACTGACTAACTCATACTTTGAAAGATTCCTTGATGCAACAACGCTAACTCACGGTCAATTGAGAAGCTCAAGATCATTTGCATTGCAAACCTTCATCAGGACAAAGGAGGTTAATTATGAGAGGTTCAGTTCATCTTACTGGCCCCATTTTAATATGCAGTTAACAAAGAAGCTTGATGCTTCACGAGTCTTTACGGAGATTATATCTCATATTAAAGGTGGTTTAGGAGCCATAGAAGCAGATGATGGCAGACTCAGTAGGGAGGATTATGTTCAACTGTCAGAGGGCCGGGATTCCAATTTAAGCAAGCAAAAGAGAGAAGTAATATACGATATATTTCAGGCTTATGAAAAAATGAAGTTGAAGAATGGTGAATTTGATTTGGCTGATTTTGTCATTGATCTACACCATCGGATCAGGCGCGAAAAATTTGTGGGCGATCAAATGGATTTTGTTTATATTGATGAAGTTCAAGATCTCACCATGAGCCAAATTGCGTTGTTTAAGTATATGTGCAACAATGTCGAAGAGGGTTTTGTTTTTTCCGGTGATACGGCACAGACCATTGCCAGGGGAATTGATTTTAGGTTCCAAGATATAAGACATCTGTTCTACAAGAAGTTTGTGTTGGAATCAAGAGGCAATAAGCATCAAGAAAGAAAAGAAAAAGGACAAATCTCAGAAACATTTCACTTGACTCAAAACTTCCGTACGCATGATGGCGTTCTGAAATTATCACAGAGCATTGTTGAACTACTTTATCGTTTTTTCCCTCTATATATTGACATTTTAAGGCCTGAAAACAGTCTGATATATGGGGAAGCTCCAGTACTGCTTGAATCTGGAGAAGATGAAAATGCAATCATCAGAATTTTTGGAAATAGTGGAACTCATAATTCTAACATAGTAGGCTTCGGAGCTGAGCAAGTTATTTTGGTCCGTGATGTTGGTGCTCAAAAAGAAATTTTGAAAATCGTTGGGAAGCATGCTCTTGTCCTAACCATATTGGAATGCAAGGGGCTTGAATTCCAGGTGATTGATAGCACTTTTCATCTCTCTTTTGTTAATTATGATATTTTCGTGCATTGGATCTTGTATATGTTTCTAAATTTATACTTTCTTTTGATTCATATCGTTTATGTCTTGTCTGCAGGATGTACTCTTGTACAACTTTTTTGGATCATCGCCCCTAAAAAATCAATGGAGGGTGATATATGAGTACATGAAGGAGCAAGATTTACTTGACTCTACATTGCCACAACAATTTCCAGGTTTCAGTGAAGCTAAACACAACATTTTATGCTCTGAACTGAAGCAATTATATGTTGCTGTTACTCGAACGAGACAAAGATTATGGTTTTGCGAGAATGTAGAAGAGCTCTCCAAGCCCATGTTTGACTATTGGACGAAGAAATGTCTTGTACAGGTTAGACAACTGGACGATTCCCTTGTGCAGGCAATGCAAGCTGCTAGTAGTCCTGAGGCGTGGAAATCACGAGGCATTAAGGTTTGCATTATTTACTCTATAATAGTCAGGAGGAACAAAGAATTGTTGCAGTAGACATGTAAATTTATTTGATTTGTTATCATCATCATCGTCATTAGATTCCCACTGCTAAAATAATTTATTTATGTTGTAACACCGTTTTTTAAGTAATATTTACGAAATCATTTATCTTTGTTTTCCTGCAGCTCTATCATGAACATAACTATGAAAAGGCCACAATGTGCTTTGAAAAAGCTGGTGATACTTATTGGGAAAGGAAGTCCAAAGCTGCTGGCCTTAAAGCTATCGCTGAGCGAATGCTGACTTCAAATCCTGCGGAAGCCAATACCATTCTTAAGGAAGCTACTGAGATATATGATGCTATAGGCATGGCAGATTCCGCAGCTAGATGTTTTATTGATTTGGGAGAGTATGAAAGAGCAGGTATGACTCTTTAACAACTGTTAATTTCAGCTTTCCAGAATTTATATTATAGTGAAATTGCGATAGCACTCTGATACAATTTAGCTTACTATTTGTTACAAATTTGGTTTACTATTTGTTGGACGTGAATCTTCGTATTTATTGTTCTGACTTGAATCTAGTTGATGAAGTTATTCTCGTAGTAAAGCTTTTTTTACTGATGCAGCTAGGATTTATTTGGATAAATGTGGTGAACTGGAAAGAGCTGGGGAATGTTTTTCTCTAGCAAGATGCTATCAAGAGGCTGCAGATGTGTATGCTAAGGGCAATTTTTTCTCGGAGTGTCTCACTGTTTGTGACCAAGGAAAGCTATTTGAAATGGGTCTGAACTACATCAAATCTTGGAAGAAGCGTCCAGTAAAGGACCGTGCTATGGCTCAAAGTGGAGAAGGAACTGATGAAATTGAGCAGGCATTTCTTGAGAGATGCGCACTTTACTATTACAAGTTGAAAGACAACAGATCCATGATGAATTTTGTTAGAGCTTTTCGTTCTATAATTTCAATGCGAAACTTTTTGAAGGAGCACGCTAGTCTTGATGAGCTTCTTTTGTTGGAAGAGGGATTGGGAAACTATCTTGAGGCTGCAGAAATTGCAAAACTGAAAGGTGATATTCTACTCCGAGCTGATTTCCTTGAAAAGGCTGGCAAGTTCAGAGAGGCATCACTGCATATTCTATTCTATGGGCTTGCCAACTCTCTTTGGTCATATGGCAGCAAGGGATGGCCCGTGAAGCAGTTTTCACAAAAGGAGGAGCTTTTATCAAAAGCCAAGTCATGTGCCAAGCACGAGACAGAAAGCTTTTACGAGTTTGTTTGCACTGAGGTTGACATTTTGTTAAATGAGCAGAGTGACTTGGTTGTGATGAAAAATCACATGAATGCTTGCCAGAGACACAGGAGTGTTGGAGGTCAAATTTTGTCTGCTAAAAAAATATTGGATGCTCATCTTTCTTCAAGTGGTGATAAGTATGTGTGGGAAGAAATGTTGGTAGAGTGTCCAGAAAATGGAATTTCTGAAAATCAAGCTTCCGTGGAATCGTTGATTTATTTCTGGAATTTTTGGAAGGATAAAATTGCTCACATATTTGAATATCTCAGATGCCTCGAATCCCAGGAAGTTAGTGAATACAAAAGTTATGGAGAGTTTTGTTTGAATTACTTGGGAGTTTGGAGAATGTATCATAATCTGAGTCCAGTCTATGTTTTACTGATTCCTGATGCTGATTGGGTTCATGGATTGAATAAAAAATATTTTAGAAATCAAGGCGAATTGGTCTCCGTTGATGCTCAGCAGCTTGCTTTGGCCGCTAGGAATTATTGGAGTTCAGAATTGCTCTCTGTTGGCATGAAAGTTTTGGACAAGCTCGAAGAAATCTACAAGTTTCCCAGCAAGAATGTTGAGTCTGTGTTCCGTCGAAGCAGTTGTCTTAGCTATGTCTGTGAGGTCTCGGTATATCTTTTGCAATCAAAATGTTTGAACTTAAGGTATCATGATGCGGAGCGACTGCACAAACGTGTAACGTTTTCGATTGAAAGTATTGTTCCTTTAGTATTTCCTGTGGATTGGAGGAATTCATTGAGGGAGAATATGATTTCTCTTCGAAGAACTGATGCTTCAAAGAATGTGTTGAAACAAGTAATAAATGAGTTTACCAGAGCAAAGAATGAGCTATCTTTTGGGCAAATTGGGAAGCTTGTGATGGTCATTCTCGGGACTGGTAAGCTTAATAATGACCTGTACAAGAAGCTTGTGAGAAAACTTGACTGCAACCAGCCATGGCAGGCGTTCATTGAGAATCTCAGTGGGATTGTCGAACATGGAAACACCAGTCAAGAACCGAAAGAGGTGTCTGCAATGTTGAGGTTCCATGACGCTTTAGCTGAAACTTATAATGTGAACTGGAGGGCTGTGAAGGATTACATAACACCTGATTGCTTTCTATACCTTGTAGAGCGCCTTCTGATATGGGCGACTTGCTTTCAGGGTCATGCTATCACTACAAGTTCTTGTTTTACCGAGTGGCTTATATACCAAGGGGAAGATACCATCTTACGTTTGAAGGGGGCTGATGTTCGACCATCTTTGGATGGCATCCTTCCTTTTGTGATTGACGTGACTCAGGAGTGCATTTACAATAAGGTTGATATGGTTGAATGGATTGGTCGTTTTGTGATTCAAACGTCCATCGAAGATTGGAAGAACTACTATTCACTACTCATGTTCAGATTGGTCGTTATGTTATGCTTGGTTTATGTGAATTTTGGTATTGGTCTTGATTTACTCCATGATTTGCTGGGGAGGAACTATGTCACTGAACAGCTGCCGTCGGAGTTCTATGATGCCCTCAAAAACAGGAGGAGCCACAAATCTGTTAGGTTAGATGTGAATGTGCTCGCGGCAGCTCTTAAGAAGGTCGGTAATCCTTTGGTAATAGCAAGTTTTGGGACCAATTGTTCGAGGTTGTTGTGTTCAGATGCTGTCTTTGTTGACATGATGGCCAACCAGTCTAGGGATGACATATTTAGAAATTTGTTTCGTAAACCATCTGTCCTAAAAGCTTCGCCAGCTGGATCTTGCGCTACCAATTCTGAGGAGGGGAAGACTGGTGCTGCATTGGATAAGCCATGTGACGCCGGGGACAGACGCTATAAGTGAGGAAAATTGTGAATCCAACGAGTCTCCAGAGTCTCCGCAAATTGATGTTGCTTCTGTACCGACCGCAAGTGCGCTTTATGTAAAACTGCTATGACTATGTTAAATGACTAAAAATGTATAATATTAAATGTGATACAATAATTTATTTTATGTTTTATTTATAATTTCATCTTCAATCTTCATCATTTCCAGGGCACAGCTAAAGATCCAAATCCCTCCCCTCCAACCCTCTGTTCTCTCCCCTTCCCAATCACCCAAATCGCCGACCCGAATTCCGAGCTTCCGAATCTCTCCAACTCCATGATCGGATTCCAATCAGCCAATCCATCCAATCAATTTTGAAAAAACCCAGAAAAAGAAAAAGAAAAAAGGGGGATGTTAAAGAAATGGCGGAAGCATCATCCGCGTCTGCGACGAAGTCGGTGTTGGAAATTCAAATAAAAACAGGCTGTAAAAGGTTGCTTCTAGCTGTTAGTTTCTTTACAGGTTGTATCCACACATGCTGCAACTACAAAGACTAAAGTTTCCTCCATGTGCTAGCTGAAATGGTGATGAAAGACAACAAGTGTGCTGCCATGTGATGTGCTAGCAGGAAGACAGCAGTGTGCTGCTGTGTATTAGCCGAAAGAGTGTTGATTGCAAGCTGGAAAGATAGCTGCATATGTGTGCTAGACTGTCCAAAGTTCTTGCATGTGTTTTAAAGGGTGTAAAGATGTTAAACACCCCATTCATTGCATGTGTTGTTGCATTGTTTATCAATTTCTGTTTTGTATAAATAGGCCATCTTGCTAAGCTTTATAGCATCCCATCCAAATCCTATTTCCATTCTCATTTTCAGCTTGTAAGCTTTAAGAGTTGTAAACTCTTCTAATATTTCAAAGTGTTTGTTATCACCAAGCTTGCTACTTCTTTCATATATCAAAGTCCAAGTGTTTTACCAAAGCTTGTTGCTTCCCTCCTTTCTCTATTTCTTTGTCCAATTTTATTGAGAGTGAAAGTGAGAGGTGTGATAGAGTTTGTAAACTTATCACCCACATATTTTGGTATTGAGTTAGTAAACTCTTGTGAATACCAACAATTGGTATCAGAGCCAGAATACCATTCTGGCAAGTGCAGTAGCTATGGCGTCCAATTTAGTGCGACTCCAAGTTCCCACATTGAAGAAAGAAAATTATGAAAGATGGTGCATCCAATTCAAAGCATTGTTTGGATCACAGGAGCTATGGGAAGTTGTCAGTAGTGGGTATGTTGTACCCACTACCGAGCAAGAAGCCGTATATACTGCGGATCAAAGGAACACTCTCAAGGACTTACGAAAGAAGGACCAAAAGGCGCTGTATCTTCTATACCATGGTTTGGAAGATTCAACGTTCGAGAAGGTTGCAGAAGCAACAACGAGCAAGCAAGTATGGGATACACTCAGTACAATCTACAAAGGAGTAGATCGAGTCAAGAAAGTGAGGTTACAGTCACTTCGAGCAGATTTTGAAACTGCTCACATGAATGAAGGGGAGAGCATCTCCGACTATCACTCAAGGCTCATTGTGATAGTAAATCAGATGAGGAGAAATGGCGAGAGACTCGATGAAGTACGAGTTGTGGAGAAGATACTCCGGTCACTCACATCTAAGTTTGAGCATGTGGTGACTGCCATTGAGGAATCCAAGGATTTGGAGGTGATGAGCGCAGAAGAGCTACTAGGATCCCTCCTAGTTCACAAGCAACGCATTCAGAAGAATGCAAACCCCACAACGCTAGAGCAAGCTTTGGAGTCAAAGTTGAATATTGACAAACCAGATGGAGGTCGTGGGCAGTGGAACTCACGTCGTGGGAGTTCATCTAACCGTAGCCGAGGACGAGCTCGAGGAAGAGGTCGAGGCTATGCACAAAATCGAGGTCAGTCTCAAGAGTGGAGATCTACTCGAGGAAAGGCGCATATCCAATGTCACAATTGCAAGCAATATGGACATTATGCCAATGAATGTTCACATAAAAATGGTGAGCATGTCAACATGGCAGAATCAAGTGGAAATACTGATGAAGAACTTACAGTCTTGCTAGCACACCATGATTCCAGTAGCCAACAAGATGTTTGGTATTTGGACTCTGGTGCAAGCAATCACATGTGTGGAAAGAAGGAGTTTTTTGCCGAACTAAAAGATGGGGCCTATGGATCTGTAAGTCTTGGTGACTCCTCAAAGTTGCCAGTTGAAGGCAAAGGGAAGATCAAGATCATCCAGAAGGATGGTAAAGAAGAATACATCTCCGATACCTACTACATACCAGGTATGAAGAGCAACATTCTAAGCATTGGTCAACTGCTCCAGAAAGGGTACATTATACATATGGAGAATATGTTTCTCACTCTCAGAAATGCAAGGAGAAAACTTATTGCACGTGTTCAAATGTCAAAGAACCGAATGTTCCCGTTGAAGTTGAACACAAAGATTGGGAGTTGCAACATCGGTGTGATGGAAGATGAGTCATGGAAATGGCATCTTCGATTTGGCCATCTTCATTTCAATGGCCTAAAGTTGTTGTCAAGTGGAGGAATGGTTCGTGGTTTACCCCAGATTGAAGCCACACGCCAAGTATGTGAAGGTTGTGTGCTTGGCAAGCAAGCACGACTATCGTTCCCTGTTGGTGATACATGGAGAGCAAAAGCACCACTGTAGTTGGTGCACACAGATATATGTGGTCCATTGGATCCCATGTCTTATGGAGGTAATAGGTATTTTATTACCTTCATTGATGATTTCAGTAGAAAGACTTAGGTCTATTTTCTCAAGGAGAAGTCAGCTGCCCTAAAAATTTTCAAGGAGTTCAAGGCACTCACAGAGGCTGAAAGTAACCACAAGCTTGTGGCTGTGAGATCAGATAGAGGTGGAGAGTACACCTCCAATGCTTTCCAAGCATACTGCAAGGAGCAAGGAATTAGGCATCAACTTACTGCTGCTTATACCCCACAGCAAAATGGGATAGCCGAAAGAAAGAATCGAACCATCCTTGACATGACAAGGTCCATGCTTAAGGAGAAGAATTTGCCAAAAGAGTTATGGGCAGAAGCTGTAGCTTGTTCGATTTATTTGTTGAATCGATGTCCAACAAAGAGTGTCAAGAGGATGACACCACAAGAGGCTTGGTGTGGATACAAGCCGAATGTTACACACCTAAGAATTTTTGGGTGTGTTGCATATGCTCAAGTTCCAGAAGCCAAGAGGAGGAAACTTGATGATAGAGGTGAGAAGTGTGTGTTTGTGGGCTATAGTGAAGAGTCCAAGGCATACAAGCTCTACAACCCACTAACTGGCAAACTAGTGGTTAGTAGAGATGTCATCTTCAGTGAGGAAGAGACATGGAAGTGGAACAACAAAGAAGTCAGTAAAGAGAAGATCGTCTCCACTGATTTTGAAGAACCAGAAGTTGTACCACCTATTGAGCAACAGCCTGCTCAAACAATCACAACAACTCTAGTGCACAGAATTGCAAGGAGTGGTCCTACATCTAGTGAGGAAAGCAGCTCCTCAACTCCAGTGAGGTTAAGGAGTCTCACAGAGATTTATGGACAAGAAGAAGAAAAAACCAATTTTTTCTGCTTCTATGCAGACCATGAGCCTCTCTCATTCAATGAAGCTGTGGAAGAAAATTGTTGGAAGAAAGCCATGGAAGAAGAGATCCATGCCATCGAGAAGAATGACACTTGGGAGTTGACAAAGCTTCCACCAAATCAGAAGGCTATTGGTGTTAAGTGGGTGTACAAGATCAAACGCACTGCAGATGGGAGTGTAGATCGGTACAAATCAAGGCTTGTAGCAAAGGGCTACAAACAGAAGTATGGAGTGGACTATGATGAAGTCTATGCTCCAGTTGCAAGACTTGACACGGTAAGATTACTAATCTCTCTTGCCGCTCAGCATAAATGGAAAATTTATCAATTAGATGTCAAGTCAGCCTTCCTTAATGGAGTTCTTGAGGAAGAAGTGTACGTGGAACAACCGAAGGCTTCCAAGTACAAGGAGAAGAAGAAAAGGTGTATCGTTTGAAGAAGGCTTTGTATGGCCTCAAGCAAGCACCACGAGCTTGGAACTCAAGGATTGATAACTACCTTCACCAAAATGGATTTCAGAAATGTCCATACGAGCATTCAGTTTACATGAAGAATGGTGCAAAAGGGGAGTTCTTAATTATTTGTCTCTATGTAGATGACTTGTTGTTTACAGGAAACAATGAAGCAATGTTCTGTGAGTTCAAGCAATCCATGTTCAGTGAATTCGAGATGACTGACAATGGATTAATGTCATACTTTCTTGGCATAGAAGTGAAGCAAGGAAGTGACGGTATCTACATCTCTCAACAAAAGTACATGAGAGATATATTGGAGAAATTCAATATGGACAAGTGCAATATTGTCAACACTCCAGTTGCAACTGGATTGAAGCTGTCCAAGGAAGGAGAAGGTGAGTTTGTAAACTCAACCGTGTACAAAAGCTTGGTTGGAAGCCTAAGGTACCTTACAATCACAAGACCTGATATAGTTTATAGTGTTGGACTCGTGAGTCGATACATGGAAACACCAAGGGAGTCTCATTGGCTGGCCGCCAAGAGAATTTTGAGGTACATAAGAGGTACTCTAAACTATGGTCTATTTTATAATTTTGGTGAAGATGCAAAATTATTTGGTTATTCAGATAGTGATTGGGGAGGTGACCAAGATGAAAGGAAAAGCACAACTGGCTATGTGTTTTTTCTAGGATCAACAGCTTTCTCATGGACTTCAAAGAAGCAATCAATTGTTGCTTTGTCATCATGTGAAGCCGAGTATGTTGTTGTAGCCTCAACCGTGTGTGAGGCAATTTGGTTAAGAAATCTGTTGAAGTCAGTATGTCATCCACAAGTGGAATTGACTGTGATTCATGTGGATAACGTGTCTGCAATCAAACTTGCAAAGAATCCTGTTCAACATGGAAGGAGCAAGCACATTGATACCAGGTTCCATTTTCTAAGGGACCATGTGAAGCAAAAGACAATTGAGCTTGTCTATTGTCACACAAAGGAACAAGTGGCTGACATCTTCACTAAGCCACTACCAGTTGAATCATTCCGGTTATTGCGTGAAATGCTAGGCATGAAGGCGTTTTGATTTGAGGGGGCGTGTTGGAAATTCAAATAAAAACAGGCTGTAAAAGGTTGCTTCTAGCTGTTAGTTTCTTTACAGGTTGTATCCACACATGCTGCAACTACAAAGACTAAAGTTTCCTCCATGTGCTAGCTGAAATGGTGATGAAAGACAGCAAGTGTGCTGCCATGTGATGTGCTAGCAGGAAGACAACAGTGTGCTGCTGTGTATTAGCCGAAAGAGTGTTGATTGCAAGCTGGAAAGATAGCTGCATATGTGTGCTAGACTGTCCAAAGTTCTTGCATGTGTTTTAAAGGGTGTAAAGATGTTAAACACCCCATTCATTGCATGTGTTGTTGCATTGTTTATCAATTTCTGTTTTGTATAAATAGGCCATCTTGCTAAGCTTTATAGCATCCCATCCAAATCCCATTTCCATTCTCATTTTCAGCTTGTAAGCTTTAAGAGTTGTAAACTCTTCTAATATTTCAAAGTGTTTGTTATCACCAAGCTTGCTACTTCTTTCATATATCAAAGTCCAAGTGTTTTACCAAAGCTTGTTGCTTCCCTCCTTTCTCTATTTCTTTGTCCAATTTTATTGAGAGTGAAAGTGAGAGGTGTGATAGAGTTTGTAAACTTATCACCCACATATTTTGGTATTGAGTTAGTAAACTCTTGTGAATACCAACAGTCGGATGAAGAGAAAATAGAGATGCTGGACCAGTTGCTAACTCGGCTAGCTCTCTGCAATGACTCCAGCCTCCAACCCTTACTCTCCAAGCTTCTCCCCTTCACCATTTCCGCCCCTTCTTCTCAATCCTCCGCCGTCCGCAACAAGGTCAGAGTCAAACTCTCTCTCTCTCTCTCTCTCTCTCTCTCTCTCTCTCCCCCCTCGCTTTGCTACTTTTTTCTGTCGGTGGTGGTCTTCAATTTCTGAAAAATAATTGCCACAAATATTGGTTTACTTGTATGTTTAGCTGAATTTGGTAATTGGGTTTTGAATCTATGGAAATTTTAATCTGGAATTGGATTTTGTTGTTTGGGGGCACGTTCTTGAGATATTGAGTTTCAGTTCAAAGTATATAGCCACACAGAGATTCGAATCCGTAGCTAATGGATGTAGACGGAGGGGGAAGCAAACAGGTCTTCCACAAACTGGGTGGGCAGCAATCCGACCCATCAAAGAACCCGAAGGTATGCTACCATTGGAGGGCGGGAAAGTGCAATCACCACCCTTTCCCTTTTCTCCACAGAGAGCTCCCGGCGCCGCCGTCGCAACAAGGTCTCAATGGGACGACCTCAACTAAGCGCCATCACGCCTTCGTCGCTAACACCGACGGATTCGACGATTTGATACGAGGAGGGAAGCGAGAAGGAGAAAGAGGGTATAATTGGGTTTAAGAAAGTTTCATTAAACTTTAGTGTTCATCCGTCTACTTTGAAAAGAAGCTGGTTTTGAGAAGCAGTAAAATGCTGCGTCCATTTTCCTGCTTATTTTGGCTGGAAATTTGAAAAGAAGTACTTATTTTTACACTTACCAAACACATTTTACACCCCAATTTTTTTTCATGGCTGCTTTTTTTTATAATTGCAGCTGAGCCAAACTGGTACTAAGAGGATTTAAGTAAAGTTATTATATATTATGTAAATAAGTGCATATGAACACTTAAAAAATAAACTATACTTGTAAATTGAAACATATATACAATCCAAAAATAAAGCAGATAATATCGTGCTACGGCGGAGTCGAGACTGGGATGTGACAGAATGGTATCAGAGTCACTTTGCTGTGTGGTGCAAGTGTGCCGACGAGGACGTTGGGCCCCTAAGAGGGATGGATTGTAACATCTCACATTGACCAACGGAGAGGGGGTGATGTGCCTTATATGTGCATGCCCACCTCCATATAGCACGAGACCTTTTGGAAATTTATTGGCTACGGGTTCCAATGGAACTCCGAAGTTAAGCGAGTTCGAGCGAGAGCAATCCTAAGATTGGTAACCCACTGGGAAGTTCTCGTGTGAGTTCCCAGAAACAAAACCGTGAGGGCATGGTTGGGGCCCAAAGCGAACAATATCGTGCTATGGCGGAGTCGAGACTAGGATGTAACAATCCAAGTGGCCGGTTCTCCCTCTCCCAAGGGGGCCAGCCACACCCCTATAAAAACCTCATCATTCTCTCCAAAACTCAATTCGAAGTCTCTTGCTAACTTCTCCAAACACTTTTCTCTTCAAATTCTAACTTTGACATCTGAAGTTCTTCGGCCAAAGTCTCCCTCTCCTTCACCCCCCCCCCCCCCCCCCCCAAACTCATCATGGGCACATGAGGTTCTTGGCCTTGACCTAAGGTGTTATCTGTTTTGTAGGTGCAATTTTGTCCAAGAAGGAGAAGGCGAAAATTTGCATCCACATATATCATGATCCCATTATTTGAAAATCTTAACTTGCCATTACATGGACAGCCACATTATAGGTGAGGAGAATTGCATATGAAATGAGTCAAATCTGTTGGCTTATGCTGCTGGTTCCCAATGTACTGGAAACAAGGGGAAGATAAAGAACAAGAACAAGAGAGGCAAGACCAAGAAGGGCAGAAAGTAGCCCTCTAGACATTCTATATATGCAATGTGAATTTTGTTTTGCTGTGCAAGAATTTGATGGTTCCTTTGATGAGTATTGTTTTTAACTGGATATAGTTTGTTAGGTTGGTTGAAAGATGAAAACCCTAGTCACTACGTAATCCGTCACTTCGCAATATTCTTCATTTTATGTAAAAAAACTTCTTCAATTCACGCAGTTTTTTATTGTATAGTGGAGCACTTTCTCCTTTAGTGGTTTTCATTTCATTTATGTGTGACAATTTGACATATAATTTGAAAATGCAAAATTAATAAGTGATCGCACATTAGGGGATGATTTTGAACAACGTTTGAGCTTGTGTATAGGGAATTAACAATCAATTACGACATTTTTTTTTTTATATAGAACAACATACTACTATAGTCTTCCAAAAATATTAATCCTCTTATGTTTATGATCACATCGTTGAACCCACAACTTCAAGTGCAGGAGTAAATGCTTTATAATCTTAAATTATTTATTATTTTCCTTTCTGACATATCCAGAGAATGTCATTGTCTTGGCTGATTTGCAGGATATTTTGGTATTGTTATTGCCTTAGAGCGGCGTCAGATGTTATCAACAATCAATGAAAAATTTATATATAGAAATAAATTTGAATATGCTAATAAATAATAAATGCAAATCAATAATTTGGCAGAGTGAACAAGATGAAATTAATATAAAATGAAAAAAAAAAAAAAAAAAAAACAGTGATCGAGACTTGCGCATCGCAATATCCTTGAAACATAATTTCATCCCTACTTAGTGTTTGTAGTTCGATGGACGTCTGTTTCACCAGGATTCAACGATCAAATCAAAATTCCAGCACCAGAAAATTTGGCTTCTGGCGAATATCTTTGTGGTTCTCTTAGTAAGAAGGTTTTGGGATTTTAGGAGAATTCATTTTTTCTGTGTTCTAAATGTCATGCAAATGGATGTATATATAATGCACAAATGTCTGTTCACAACATGTATGAATATGAGATGCATCTTTTGGAAGGCATTTGCTCAGAGAGGTGTGTTGCTCTTTGGCGTTCTTTCATCGTCTTAGACTTCATCCAAAGGATGAGTCTGTTGAAAAAATAATTAATTAAAAATAGTAATTAATTATTAGATTTAATATTTGAGCCCATCTTTTGACAATTAAATATATTTTAATTATATATTATTTATATATTTAATTATTACACACCCAAACCCAAACTCAAAGTTCAAGCCCATTTTTTCTTTCAATGGTCCATTTTTCCAATCACTTTGTATGATGAATAAGATGTTATAAGGTGTGTGAAACTTCCCGACTTGACCAATGTGGAACAATTGAGATGAAAGGAAATTTCCACTCGAAAACTCCAACATGCAGAACTTTAGGCTATTATTCATGTTGTTTATATCGCTTTGGACAGTGTTGATATTCTTTTTGGATTAAGTGTGATTCTTGTTTAGCAGTGCATTTTCTTTCTAATGGATCTTTGGTGCCTTGGCGTTTATCGGTTGATTGGGTAAATTGTTGTATCATCCTCTCTTCCATGCATGCATGTTCGGTTTTCTCATATTTATAGTGAAGAAAATCAGGTGGCAGATTGTTTGGCAAACTATGGTGTTGGTCATGTTTGGGTTCATTGGTGGGATTCTTGTCCACCATGTGCAATTGTGGCTTCAGTTCATAAACTTTCATGGTTTTCAAATTTTCATTTCTCTTAGAAATTCTCTTAATTGATTTTAGTTTCTTATAATTTTCTACTTTTTGTTAGAGTTTGACTTCATATCCCTTCTAACTTATTGTATCTTTATTTTTTTTTCTTCAATATATATTGACAATAATGTTTTTTTTTTCTATTATAGCAATTGTGAAGTGGATGTGACATTATTATTTTAATTAAAAAAATTGATAGAATGTCGTCTGATGGTCAAGTACAGAATTTGAATAAGACAGAGGAAGCCATCAAGGCTAAGATTGGGGCAGAGGCTGCCGCCAAGCTTTGCAGTGAAGCCATCTACTTCATTGGAGTTGGCACTCTATTATTAGACAATGGACGCGTGTTGCGCTGTTGGTCTTTTCCTTCAATGATTTCATTGGGTTACGTCAGGAAAGAAATATAATGAGCTCCATAACCTGAAGGTGAAGTTATACGACATTGGATTGTGCTTATAAGAAAACATAATACATGTTACATCGGCACTAGCCTTGGCTAGTAAAGCTGTCCGACATTGATTTGGTTAGTGAAGCTGAGAGTATATCATAAAATACCTTGATACGCGTAAACTAGGTCATATGATCGTAGACAGATACATACTCGATCCCTGGGCGGCAGTGGGATTTTTGTGTTAAAAGAGTCGAATAATTTCAGTAGTTTTATAATAAGGCTTATTGTAATAGGCAGTTGAAGCACAAGAAACCATTAATACCTACACAAAGGAACCCTGATAGTTGTAGGAAAATGAACCTACTGGTTACAGAAATTAATTACAATTATTGGTGCCAATCATAGGAAGATCCAAAAATGGCAATAATGTATGAAATTCTATACAGCGTAATCTAACCGTGGTAAGGTGTTACCACTCGGTATTACAGTCTAATAATATTCCTCTTTACTTGTAAGTGAGAGGTCTTAGGTTCGATTCTCTTCAAAAAGGAATTTGAACCACATTATTGCTTGTACATCATGGACACGGTCAATGAAAATAATGCTTGTACATCGTAGATGCATTCTTATCTTGGAAAGCTTTGTAATTCAATTTTGATTTAACCAACTTTCTGCTTCTCCCTTGATGCACAAAATTAATTCAGTTGGGACGATGTTATTAAGGCTGATAAACATCGAGAGAAGTACCTTAGTCACAGCATCAAAGGCGCCTGTGGGAAGATGGCTAAAAGGTGACATGTTTTGTTCCTTCATATTGTGCTATAAATTATAATCATTCATTTCCCCATTTGAAACCAACTATTCAATTTGGTTTCAAGTTGCAAGTAGCTCCGTGATTCTTCTCACAAATAGTCAAAGCCTCTGCAGTTCAAATATTTGTTGTGCCATTGCTCTCCTTTCTCAAGAGGCAAGAAAAGAGGCAATTAATTCTTGAATGCCCAACAATTCTCATGCCTTGAACCATGTTTGCTAGTAATAGTATTCTCCTCTCGGTATTTCTGGACTAGCAAATTGGTTCAAAATATCATGTACGAATACCTTTTCCAGCTCCAAATCGAATTCGAAATCAATAATTTACTATTTAACGTTAATAAATGAAAACCCAAACAATTATAACTTCTTATATATAAATAAAAATGAACACCGTAACATTTACAATTTAAAAAAAAAAAATGAAGAAAAAACAACGCGCACACACACAACACCATCAGAAGCCCCAAACACCAACTTACTGAAACAGGAGACACCTCACCCAACCGCAACCAGAAATTGTGAAGGATACCCACGGTCCAGCCCTATTCATACATATACACATACATACATATACGAACTTAGAATACAACAACATACTCAAGTTAGGCATCGCAGAAATAGCAGAGGGATACCTCAGCACAATCTTCTGGTTAAGCTGCAAGTACTACTATCACAATGAGAAGCACAACTCCAAATATTACCAAGAGCAAGCAAGTCTGCAAAAAATAAAAACATTAACTTTAAAGTGATTCCATAATATATTTGTAAAGGAACTGAAACAGATCGACAATATTTCTTAAGTGGGATTAAATGCATTATTTCATGTGTTTACGGGATCTGAAAATTCATGTCGAATCCTAATGAAGAACGTTGTGGCTGTGAAAACTATCATGGACCATCAGTTTAACCTGTGAATTTGGACCCCATGTTCATGCAAGAATGAACTTAAGAATCATTCATATAACAACCTAGCAACAAAAATTACCAAAGAGTCCCTGAAGCGAACATTTTGAAAAATATATAAATATTTACACTTAGATGTAGACTGTCATATAAAAAAATGTGAACAAATTACCAGAGATGAATTCGATCTTTGGGTCTTTGACGCCTTCACTAGATGGGACTTTGCCTGCCCAGTAGCTGCGTGAGCACTCTCAATATTGGAGCCAATGTCATCTACAAAGCGGATATAACCAATAAGAAAACACAAGCCAGATAAGTATAAGTGCCTTCAAGAGAGTAAGGAGAAGGTAAGTTACCAATCATGGTTCCTTGCTCATGAACCAGTATAGCAAGATCTTTAAAAATCTCATTCACCTCACCAATTTGCTGCTGGATTTCTTGTATTCCCTGTTCTCTTTCCTCGATGATAGCCTCATTGAAAGCAATCTCACTATCCAATAGCACGACCTCTTGTCTGCAGCAAAGCTCACTTATAACCAAAGATATATGGCACATCTAACCTTGATAAGAGTTTTAAACTGAAGCAGATAAATCAAACAACAATCAAAGACAGCTGATGCTACGGCTCCCACTGCCAACTATTTTTGTATCATTAAGGACAGAAAAAAGGCGTTGGAAGTTTGATGTAGAACAACACAAGGTGTGTGCGGCATGATTATTCTGAGCTTCAGATGTCAGGAATTTTAAAAATTTAGAGGGGGAATGCTAGCCACCTTCTCACTGTTCCACCAGGTGTCAATTTTCTAGAACCTAAAACTAAGCATTCAATCCCTAAAATTAATTCAATTTTGTTTTCGAAATTTACCCATCTTAAATGTAATAAGTCTTCATAAACTTTTTCCCTTGCTAATTAACAAGTGAAATTGACCGACTGTTCCCCTCCATCGTTTCCTTCACCAAAGGCACAATATCATATATTCAGATAAACCACCCTAACTACTAATTATCATATGGCCTTTCTAATAAGAAAGGAATACATGTTTTCTGGGATATAACTTTTTCTAATAAGAATGGAGGTACAATGAGGTTTGTTTGTACCATACTTGACCAATCTCGAAACTACCAAGCCTCAGTCAACGTCATACCGTCAAGAACCCACAAAGGGGTTCATGCTGAGGCACCCTTGCCGAAGCACAAGAGTTTCCCTCCAACCAGGAGGCCAATCACAGCATGACACATGTCAACGTCAGAATAAAGCTCACAGAGTCCCACATCGACCGCGAACAGAAGCTGGAGACTCTCCTCAACTATAAAAGGAGACCATTCTCCTACAATTAATCCCTAATGTCATTATTGTACTTAAAGTAGTCATTATGCTTAAACTTCTGTATTTGTGTAACCCTTCACTATTAATGAAAACTCCTCTACTCCGTGGACGTAGCCAAACTTAGGGTTAACTACATACATCTTGTGTTTGCTTCCCAACCTCTATCCCTTACATATTATCCTCATGAAGTGACCGGAGCAACCGGGCGAGGGTCACAAACCTGACACTTTATGTTGTTCCAAAGTCTTGCTGATTTTGTGCATCAACAAAGTCAGTGCCGATGCAGTTCCCTTTTTGAGGGCAGTTTTGAAATGGTACGATGGTTCCACCACCTTTAAGTTTTACGACCATGAAAAGAGATGGTTCAGTTTTTTATGTTTTGTCTTTTGGCAGAAGAGAGTATTAACTGTAGACAGTTAAAGACTGAAACAACCTTGACCCAAGTGACTTGTATGGTTCTTCAAAACACTGAAAGACTAGTTAAATAATAGAAAAACAATAGACCACTCCGACAAACAATGGAGACTCAAAAAATTTCAAAGATAGCTTCTAGACCAAAATACTAGAAGCATGGTTCTAAAAAACGCTATGCGCTAGTCAGGCGGTTGACTAGGGCCTAGTGCCTAGGCGGCCTAGACAGATTTGTAATTTTTATTTATTTAATTAAATTTATTATAACAAAAACTAGGTCTACTTAATAAGATGGGCTGTTTTTTTAACCCCAATTCAAGAGTGAAAAAAATGATAAGCATATAAAATGGCCCGTCCCAGCCAAACCCACCCCACCCTTTCTTTATGGCAAATCTTCTCTCTTTTATTATAAGAATGCCTCGTTTCCATCAACTAATTAAAATAGTCAAATCATCTAGATACCTCTCTCGCTTTTATTAAAACCAGCCTCATTTCCGATTCCTCATTTCAACCCCTCGTTTCCATCGCTTTCACTCTTTTTTCGACAAAGAGAAGCCGCTTTCTCTCCTCTCTGTTTTAGAATCAAGAGGCCTCTCCCATCATCAGACCTCTTCCCCACTTCCACAAGTTACTCCAAACCCTCAACTTTCATCCCAAGATCCCGAATGATCAAACAACATCGGCGTGGCCCACTGGTCAAGCAGCAGTTTGTGAAGAAATCTGAGGTGGATTCTTTGAACGATCAATGGGGTTTGTATGCATCGCCCCTCTCTTCTTGTCAGATTGCAATGAGATGGAGAACCGTTGAGGTTCTTACAAGGCCGCCTAGACCGCCTAGATAGCACCTAGGTGGCCAACTAACTCCCACCCGATTTGATGAACACTTTGGCATAAATCCCAGCGGCACTCCACCGCCTAGCGCCTAGGTGGCCACCTAGGCCGATTTTTAGAACACTAACTAGAAGAACCAAGACACAGAGCTCCAACACCACAACACTCATCAAACACTTCACTCAATCTCATGGTCTGACCTGCACTTTGTTCCAAAGGGATTGCAACCCCACGAATAACAGTCTCTAACACCCTATCCCATGACTACCAATAAAATACCCCTTTTCTATGAACCACATTACACTACACCACTTCCCACCAAAGGCTCTATCCCTCCACCATAAACCTAAAACTAGACTTGGAGAAAAATTCATTTATGTTGCATTGATTGTCTCCAGATTATAGTACATAACTCATCGTCTTCCCATTGAACATATAATTTCATTCAATTTCCTTTTACTGGAAAATGCACGATTCTACTAGTTTGTCCCTCGTCTTTCCTTCTTCTTTTCCAACAGAAATTTACTAATGCCTTTCAGCATTTGATTTGGAGTTACGTTTAATGTCGTTGTAGAATAACAACCCCTTTTCTGCAAAAACAGTTAGAATTCCTTATCATTGTTAAGTAAAACTCACCTTCTAGATTCCACAAGGAGAGCACGCTGTTCTGGACTTTTGTCTGAGTTTACATCTATCTCGCTAGCAGTGTAACTGCGTGAAACATTTAGAATAATCATACAACTTCAGATTGAGGGCCTCCAACAGTAGATGTAATGCAAACTAAACAAAACAAAAATATCTTCTGGAAGATATCACATAAATAGTGGACACAAATAAAAGACTGGAATTACTTGTATAAATCCTCTGGCAAAAGTTACCTGGATGGAAGAACTGCTTGAGGAACAAAAGGAGCATATGTTGTTTCTCTCTCAGCTGCAAGTCGTTGAGCCTTCTGAAATTCTCTCAGCACTGCTTGAAAATCTTTTGCAAGCTTAGCATCTGTAATCTTCTTGCTTGCCTGCAATTAAGTTGAAGACATCTATGTTCATCACACCAAAAAGTTTGAGTTTTTCAAAGACCAACCCGCAATAGAGAACAAGAATGCACAATTTCAAATGAATCAAATACATCAATTTCGCGGGGCCAATAAGGAAATTCCCTTGAGTGAAAATCAGATTTTACCTAGTTATGATATTTTGACAGGGTAAAAGTCCGACATTAATTTTAGATTTCGTAACGTCAATACTATCTTTGTTTTGACCTGATTCCAAACACAATAATCCTTAGTGGGTGATAACTGTGGGACTTGTTTCAGTGATTCTGGAGCATCTGCAAGGCTTTCCAAGACTAATTAGCCTAGCAAATAGTGCTGGAATTGGTTGGTGACAAACCAACTTTCGCTATACCACCCCAGATGGTCGGAGCGGATTGGTTACGAGGCTTACCAACTGGGAGGAAGAGAAGAGAAAGACAAAGACTAAGGCGAGGCATGCTGGAAGATGATAGCAGACCTAAAACCCCCATAGACAGAAAGGAAATGGAATTGATTACACTAGAATTTCTTCTGGGATTGGATTTGGGATCTAGGGTTTAATCAGAAATGAGGAATTTGGATGAAATTGGATGTGGAAATGAAGAATTTGGGACTTTGAAAGGCATGTGTCTCTACTTTTGGGTGTGTCTGTGTGTGTGAGAGACGGGACGAGAGTGACAGAGAAACTTACATTAACTTCGGTATGATGATCTCTTTCGCTGACTTGTTTAAGTTTTTCTGAAGTATCCTTCACCAATTGCCCGATATGTAGTCTTGTCTTGTGCCTGCAATCAGGAAAAGTCAATACGGGGAGCACTACTCGATGGAATCTATCATGCATGCAGTATTTTGCTAAAATCATTCACAAGAAAAGAGAATGACTAACGACCAGAAATGACATTTTGCAACTTGATTACTTGAAAGAAGTAATCGTGATTGCTATCCAGGATGTCGCTATTCTTTATGATTGGGTCACAACTAAGTTGTACTGGCCCCTTATCTATTTTTTCTTGAATACTTTGAAGTGATACTACATGCACCTCCAAAACGATAGCGAAACAGATAAATCCGAATCCATCGAATTATACAGCAAACAGGAGGCCGAAACCCATCCGAACAATCAAACCCGACTTATCATGATTTAACAACAACTAAAACCTAATTCAACCTTGATTAAACAAAATCCTCAATAACTCAACCATACAATACAAAATCAAAACCTCACATTTCAAACAGAATTCAGTAAACAATACACAATCGACAATCGGAAGTGAAGAACCAACTCACAGCTTTTCGCGGAGGTCCGGCGTGTCTTTGGGGGTGCCGAGGGTGTTGACGAGCCTCTGGAAGGTGGATACGGCGGTGTTGATCTGGAAAATGCCGGAGGCCACAGCTTGGGTGGGGTCCCGCTTGCCATTGATGAGGTCTCCTCGCCGGGAATAATTGGTGCCCCGACCCGCTTCCAGATCCCGAAAGCTCATCTTTGCTGTCCCTCCCCAACCCTAACCCTTACGTTTCCCGAGAAAATCCCGACACGAATTTCAAGGAAATAGAAGGCAAATTGGTGTTCGGGGCACAGGAATTGAGAATTGGGGCGAAAACGGGAGCTAAGCACGCGGCGATGATTCGAGGGAAGAGAGAGGGGAGAGAGAGAAAGAAGGTATTATCGATGCGGTGAGGTTGTCTTTTCTGGAGGAGCTGGAACGGAAGCCGGTGCCGGCACGTCGATGTTTACACGTGGGTGAAGCTGATAGGTCCGGCTTTCAAGGGAATGTTGTGTTCAATTCCCGTATACAATGTGCCACTACAACATTCTTCGAATGGCTGGTAATTTGCTTTTCATTTAATTTATAAATTATTCTGTAAAGAATAATTTAATTAAAATTAAGACTATTTAGTTAATCAATTTTAACAAATAAATCGACAGCTCGTAATACATTTAACAAATATGTTCATCTGTTTTTATAAAATTCGATGACTAAACGATTTTAATTTTAATTTATTTTTTGTAGAGGTGCTTTTTATAGAATGATATACAATAGGAATAGTTCCAATCATAAACATAAAATTTTATAAATAAGCCGCAAAATATTTTAAAGAGGAGTTTTTTCTTAATCCTTGAGGAGCAAGTCTCTTCTTCATTTTTAACTCTTCTTAGCAGGCACTCACGCGTCCTAGAGAAATAATTATCAATGTCACCAAACTTCAGCTTAATACGATGCTAGTAAGGGACGCATAATGAGTCTTAGTTAGATTGTACAATTGTCATATGGTTGTAATCATTGTAACTAATCCTAGTTTAGTGAGTTGATTAGATGTGATTAGTTACTCAGCTTTATTTGTAAAGTGTAATTTCTTCTTGATGGATCTAGTAATAGTACTAGTGTTCCTAATCCTAAATTTGATGTCAGATATGAAAAGGATTAGAACATTCTAATTTGGCTCAATACCATGCTATCAGAGGACATAATTCCTTTCACTGTTGGTGTACCTTCATCTCATGTGCTCTGGCTGAACCTTGAAGATCATTTTGGTGGTGTTTCTACTGCTCACATTCACCAACTCAAATGTCATCTTCATTTTGTACAGAAAGGTGATCTTCCTATCTCTGGGTACCTACAACGAATTAAAGGAATTTCTAATGCCTTAGAGCATCTCCAAAGGAGATGCCAAATTGTCCACGTAAGCTATAACAGTAAAAAAAAAACAACCACTAATTGTTTCCAACTGAAATGCCAAATCCTATGTGGCATGACATGGAATGGCAGCAAAAGGGCTTGCTATCAAATTTGACAACAGCTTCAAATTTTTTTTTTACTAATTATTAAATGCGTTTTATTAATATTTTAATGTAATTTATTAGGGGCTTCCTCTCAACTTTCAATAAAGCCTCTCATCATCCCAGAGATATCTTCCTCCTCTATTATCTCATTCTCATTAACCTCTGCTTCTTCATATCTGTTGGGTCCCTATAAGTTTCTCTGTAGGACCATCAAACCAAGTTGGCTTCGCCATTATTATACCTTCACCAAGCAGCAAAACCCCATATCTCAAACCCATCAAACCCCACTTTCTCTCTCTCTACTCTTTTCTGTAGTTCACCCCTTCTTCTTAGATGGTTGATACGTTAGCCGACCTTGCGTTTTGGTTCCCCACCCAGATTCTCAATGACAAAGACCTACCCACCATGGAGCGCAACTCCAACACCATGAAAAGTAAGGGGTTTGGATTACGGTTCGACGGTGATGCTCTGAAGCCTCAGAAATTAATAAGACTTTAATTATGAATTATTTATATGTAAAATTTAAAGTATCAGACAGAAATTAAGAAAACAAAAATAATGTAATAAAATAATAATTTAATTTGACATATCAGGTGGTGGAGAGCAAAACATGAAAATATGTCAAAATGCCACATAAGCTGTCAAATTAAATTTCAGGTTCAAAATTTGACATCTCCTTTGGAGATGGTCTTAATGGTTGTTGGTGCGTGTGTTTCTGAGCATGATCTCATCGCCGTTACTCTCAATGGTTTTCCGGATTAATGAGTCCTTTAGGTCGCGTTTGGTACGTGGGACGGGACGAAACGGAGTGGAACGAGATGTTCCGTCTCACGTTTGGTGCACCTAAAACGAGTGGAACACGCTGTTCCACGGGACAAGTCTTAGATGATTTTTCGTTCCGCCTCCCCCTGGAACGACTTGTTCCACGTCCATGGGACACAAATTTATAACATTTGAAGATAAAAATACCCCTTGTCTTTTTCAAAATTTATATCATCTAAATCATACAACAAACCCTAAAACTATCTTATCTTATTCTCAGCAGCTGTGAACCTCTTCACCTTTGCATCCCCCCTTCGCAACCTTCCTCCTCATCTTCTTTCGTGTAGCCTCTCAGCTCTGCATCTCCCCTTCGCAACCTTCCTCCTCATCTTCTTCCGTGTAGTAGCTCTGCATCTCTATTCCAGGTTCGATCTGTTTTTGTGTAGCCTCTCGGTCTCTCTTTCTTTGTAAAATAAAAAAATTGCTTCCAGGAGGTCTTAATTTTGATGTAAATTTGAAGTGACATTATTATTCTTTTCTTATTTGCTTGTTTCGATTTCATTAACACCCAGTTAAGATGCAAAACATTTGTAATTTCCACTACCTGTTTTCGTCTACTTTGGTTGGTTCGATCTCCTTTGGTCCTTGCATATTATTCAAAACATTTGTAATTTCCACTACCTGTTGCTCGACTTTATCCTTCCATGTCATTAATTCCTCAAAATTGTCCTGTACAAAAGAAAAGAAGATGAAATTTCATCAGAACCAAAATGTCGTAAACATACGCGACAAAACACATACTTCTTGTCCAATAATAGATGGATTTTGCAAAACATGACAAAACAATTTACTGGGATTTCCATTTTATATACCTGCATACCCTTCCAAGAACCTAAAATCACTTTCAAGCTTTGCTCAGACTGAGCTTTCCATTTTGCCAAATCCTCGAGCCTCTCTTGATTCTACTGAATTTCTTTGTATTTTGTAGTGCTTCGATTTCTTTGTATTCTTTTATGATTTGCTTGTTTCAATTTCTTTGTATTCTGTAGTGCATCGATCTGCCCAATACTGCATCTGCAACCAAAGTTCTGCCTCTGTTTATCTACTTCCACTCCCCCTATTGAACAGTACTGCATTCAGAGGTATCTCTATCTGGATTAATTTTTTCATTGTTTAAGTTTCGATTTTTATGTGCTGAAATCTATAAATCTGATGTCTTGGTGTTCTGTTGGATTGGATTGGGTTACATGTTTTGGATTTTCCTCTGTTGGATTGTGTTCTGTGTTATTTTTTTTAAAACCAAATTTAATGCTTCTATGTTCAAGAGCCACTCCCAGCATATCTTGAATATGGACACAAACAAATGCATCTTTCGAAGACCTCACTCAACCTTAAAGGAGTAAAACTCTTATCATTAATTTTACCAAGTTAATTTTACCAAGTCCAACCAAGTATCTAAAATTAAACAGGTTCTGGTAGTATTTATGGAAAAAAAAAAAAAAAAAATTCCTCACTCAATTTGAAGGAGCCAAACTCTCATCGTAGAATTCTACCAAACCTTAATATCTACAATAAAATAGGTTATATTACCCCAAAAAAAAAAAAAAAGTTGGTTCTAGAAGTATTTATGGAAAAAAAATCTTCACTTTGCAGCATCTCTTTGTTTGCATTAATTTTTAATGACCTTAGTTTTTGCAAGACTAAAGTGCATTCATATAGCATTAGTCGAATCCTCATATGGTAGCACTCTCAGATTTTCAGCGCATGCCAAAGTTGATGCTCCGCTTTAAGAATTGCAATTAGGATATGATGCTCCACTTTGTTTTACCATTTAATCATACGCTTGTAATTGAATTCTACGTATGTTGATGCTCCACTCATTCATGTGTTGTTTTTTAGAACGTGAAGGTATGGATGAATATGGACTCAATTGTTTGTTCTTTTGAACGTTTGGATTATAATTGTACAAGTCTGTACTATGAATGCACAATTGTTGAGGTATAGACAACAACAAAGGAGACAACAGGAAATAGCTAGTTTAGAGCAAAGGGAATTTGTTAGACTTCATGTTAGGAGAGAGGAAATAAATCGTATCACGCAATTGAGTGATACTAACTGTTTGTTGGAGCTGCGAATGGATAGGAATGCATTTACAGTTTTATGTGATTTACTACAAACTTGTGGAGGATTGGTAGATGATGGTCATGTTACAATAGATGAGCAAGTAGCTCCTTTTATTAACATATTAGCCCACCACAATAAAAATAGGTCAATGCAAGTTAGATTCATTAGGTCTGGTGAAACTATTAGTCGGTATGTCCGCAAAGTATTGCGTGCGTTGCTCAGTTTGCAAGATGTGTTATTTGCAAAACCAATCCCTATCCTAGAGGATTGCATGGAATCGAGATGGAAATGCTTTAAGGTAAGCATCATAGTAAAATCATTAATAACATAATTATTTGTAGTTGCTAATTAATATAAGTTTTTCTTTTGTCTAGGGTTGCTTAGGAGCGCTAGATGGAACATACATAGGGGTCACTGTGCCTGATGTTGATAGACCAAGATATAGAACAAGGAAGGGTCATATAGCAACTAATGTGTTAGGCGTATGCACACACGACCTCAAATTCGTATATGTGTTATTTGGTTGGGAGGGATCAGCTACTGATTCGAGAGTTCTTGGTGACGCTGTTACTAGAGCTAATCACCTCAAGGTGTCACATCCCCGCCCAGGGTGGATCACTTCCCGGGCCCGCTTCACCACCGTAGCACAATATTGTCCGCTTTGGGCTTACCATTCCCTCACGGTTTTGTTTTTGGGAACTCACGAGCAACTTCCTAGTGGGTCACCCATCATGGGATTGCTCTAGCCCCTTTCTCGCTTAACTTCGGAGTTTCGATGGAACCCGAAGCCAGTGAGCTTCCAAAAGGCCTCGT